GTTTCTGTTTAGTATAATCCATATATTTAACAGAGAAAAGTTATTGAATGCAAAGACCAAATTTAAGCTAAATTAGGGCTGATGTCATAGAATAAAAGTGCTTAATTATAAAATGAGTAACCCCTAAATTTCCTTTAAACAGAAGATGTATCTTTCACCTTTAAAATTCCATCAGGTTTTTAGTTTTTTCATCTTAATTTTAGAGAAATTCAGTATCATTTCTAAGCACAAATTCTAAAGCTCTGTGCTAAACTGCACTGCAATAGTTAAGGATATGGCTCAAAATCGTGTGAAATACATCTTCTATTTCCCTCTGTATATCTTTGAGTGTTCCGTGTTTTATTTTTAACTGTTTTTAACTCCCACAAGGTCTTTATCTCAGTGACAGTGCAGTGCATGCAAAGACCCAGCCTGACAGAGAACAATAGGTTCCGCTCTCTTTAGCCCTATAATGGGTGAGCATTTTAAGCTTAAAACAGAAGAACTGGATGTTTCAATTATGTTCATTTTTTGTCACTCCCTCCTTTATGTAAAAAAGTGAAGTAGGAGAGGAGATGAAAACTATGTTTGCAATAAACAAAACAGCAATTGTCTTCATCAATCTGGGAATGTGTTCCCTTCCTCGTCAAATAACATATGCATTAAAACTTAAGCAGCCAGCAGTCAAAAGTTAAAGATATTTCCGACTACCCACATTTTCACACCCTTGGAAAACCCAACTTTCCTTTCTCTGCTCATTTCTAATTATTCTCAAAAAAGAAGGTCATATATACTGGTCTCATCTTCCACATTATTTAAAAAAAAATACTTATTGTTATATTGATGTGTACTTAAGTCAGTAAATTAGGATTCCTGACTAGGAAATTTGATCCTTGCTCAGAATTAAGGCTCACCGCAATGATATTTATGTGCGCATTTTCCCAAAATAATAAATTAATTGGAGCCTAGTACTCTGCTTTCCATAGCTCAGAAGAATTTGATTTAGTGACTAGAGCTACTGACCTGGTTAAAAAAATCTATAGAAACATCTGGTGCTGTGAAATAAAAGACACTAATACAATGAACACTCATTTCCCCCGATGCCCAGGAGTAAGCCATATTTATTAATGCGATGTTAAACGATTATATATCTTGAGTTTTTCTCTACCTCTCATCCCCAGGAACTTTAGAAATAGTTATGAACTAAACCATACAGAGTCCATATGCTTTAGGAGTATGTTGCGGGAGCTGTTGAGCAGTTAGTAAAAACACAAAATTTTCTGGGTGTGTTTAAAAATAGAGTATCATTTTTCTTAATTCTTGTTATGCCTCCCAACAAATTATTTAGTTTGTGTGGATACACACTACAGTGTGGAGATGTAAAACAACATGCAGATAAGCTGAATTCTTCCATAATAAAGTCGTCTGCTTGGTTTTCCTCTTCATGTCTGTTTTTAGGTTGTCAATATCAGATAGCGAAAGCAAAAATGGACTGGAAGAGGCACAGAAACATCCTTTGGGTTCCTACAAATAGTCCTGGGCACTGATACTGTATCAGGCATACCTGTCATCTTTTATATGCTAAGCCTACTCGTAGTAATATGGAACAAATAAGGTGAAAGTCATATTGCTTAAAGCTTATTATAAGCATAAGTGGTAGGGAAGAATCTAGCCCATAAATTAGCAAATTGACCCTTGCCCATCCTTTAAAAATCTATGCAACATACTGAAATGAGCAAAGTGGATCAGTAAGTTTCTCTCCTTACTGTAAATTTATGAGCTGGTATACTGTGATTAATTTAGGTCAAAATTTCAAATATGATTCACTTTGCAGTAAAGCTTTGTCTGTCTCAATGTACCGCTAAGACCTTTTAAGACCTCCTCTGGAGGGGATGAGACGTGCAGACATGACAGACAAGAGTTTGCAGAGATCTCTGGCTCAAATGCAAAAGCGGACCAGTATCATCTTCATAAATGAATCTAGGACCAATCCGTGCAGCAGAAAGTGTTACATGAATTCCCAGGATTATGAACAGTCTCAGTGAATTAGGTAATTAAGATCCTCTTCTTGAATATTTCTTAGCACATCTGAAAAAAAAAAAGTCTTACAAATGAGGACCTTAAGCCTGCCTTGAGCTCAACTGATACATATGAAAATTCTTTTTGCCTGAGTATCCAAATGTCATGTTTGGAAACCGAAGGATAAGATACATTTGAAAACCCTATTTTATAAAATACGACTTTGTTGCCTTGCCCGGAGAACCTGGGGTTGTTCCCCCAGCCCCCCAGAGGAAAAGGAGAATGTGAATGTGGCTGTAGAATGATCTCTTGATCCTTGGGCAAAACTGAGGGAAAAGTCTAACAAATGCATCGTTTTGCAGCAAATTAGATCAGATTTCCGCATCTCCGCACTCAGTCTGTGAGCTGACAGTTCAGTAAAATGTTCCCTTGTAAGGTTCGCCCTCTTAGGAAAAGGGGCAATAATTCATCATTAGGATTTCAGAGTCCAGGTGTAGATAGAAACTGATGGAGCCTCCAGCGAGGCAGGAAAAGTGCATGGAAGAAGAAAATTTTATCTGAAGCCTAATTCCCTGGTTACAGCAGAGAATAATTAAGATAATATTGCTTCAAGAGTCCTTTAATGATTAAAAATCACATATGCAGAATCCATAAATTGGAGGGCAACAAATTGGAAGGCTATAACGTCAGAGAACTGTTTAGTGCACATTGTAGTGGAAAGTATACCAGTGCCGCTGCACCGTGTGGGCAGCCACCAGAGACCGGGACCATTCCAAGGACTTTGTTTAGATGCAACAAATCATTTGTCTGTTATTAACCCAGAGCTTGTAATTATGCAGATTGCCATAGATTTTCCTGGGCCTGGAAGTGAGATTGAGGGTTGTTCACAGTATAGCAGGCAGCTCAGGGCTGGCCATGCATTACTGAACTTGCCACATTTATCATGTTGACTGATGGCAGCAGAAGCAGGTCTCAGGTCCCAGTGGTTAATGTAGTGGGTAATTAACTGTCATTTGCCTAGTAATAGGCTGATGATCAATGGTTTGTGTGGAAACAAATTCTAATCAGGTAGCTGATAAATGCTCAGCTAGAGAGAGCAATTGAAATTGGGGGAAACTATGTCCAGAATTTCAAAATGGCATTGTGTGTGTGTTTATTAGGTATGTGCAAACTGGGTAATTCTTAACAATGGCTTTATCTCATATTAGCCAGATTTTATATCCATAAATATATCTATATCTCTGGAATAAAGGATGGCTATGCTTTCCTGGTGTCTCAAAAATAATAAAGCACGGAAGAAGCCAGTGGCACACGTAAGCTGTGTGACTCCTGAACAGATCATGGGAAGCACCCTGAAAAGTCAATGTTAAACTTTCAAAATGAACTAAAAAATTCTGTTCACAGAAGAATAGGATGAAAGCTTTAGTTTGCTGTGGTTTCATTTTTAATGATGCCAGTAAGAGATGTGAAAGATTATATTTTTCATGAAGGTCTTTTTTAAGGAGAAAATTATTCCTCAAAATATGGATTTTTAAACTGAGAACATATAGGTTGTTATATTTTTTAGATTAGCATTCATCAAAGAAGATCAGCGTCTAACAATTTTGAATTGAATATTTTCAACTCTAAATATTGCTTACTTTTAGCAAGTCCTCAAATTGTGCTAGCACACTTTAGAAAGCATTTGTAGTTTCTACCCTCAAGGCGCTTACGTTTTTCAAGAGACAATCTAAGAAAAACAGGAGGACAAGCATTTATTCCACAGTTTACCAGACACTTGGCTGCTACTCTCCCAACTCTACCCCATCATTATAGTTAGCCTGGTAAGAAGAAAGAGTTAAACCGAAACACGAACATGCATGCCTTAAGCAGAGACTCATCTTTGGAGTATGCAGAAAGTAGTAGTAAGACAGAGTTCACATGTTTGTGCGTAATTCTTCAACTTAATAAAATGAAAGGCTAAGGTGTTTTTAAAGTACATTTTTATAACCAAAATGAGTTTTCTCCATAGCACCTTTGAATTCATTAGTTCAGAACTGCTTTTAATTTGTTCTTTCCCATGAGAGCCATTATATTTTTCTCCTGTCAGGCTGATGCTGGAGAGAAAAGAAAACTGGCAGATGTGGTGTTTTTCATCTAGTTTGCTCCCTAGTTAAAAAGTGCATTAAGTGCTATGCACAAAATACTACTTGTAATAATTCTTCACCACCATTAACAACTTTAAAGGGACTAGCTGAAATTGCCAGTGCCGGTGGATAAAATGTTCTATTTCTTCTCATTATGAAATGATAAGACATTTTATTCTGCAGTATTTTTAGGTCATGACAATAACATTTTTAGATATCTACAGCAAATAGGATTTTTTAAAAAATATTTTTCCCAAACAATTCTGATGGTTCTGACGGTATATTATGTCTCAGCTCCTGATCTAGCTATATGGAGTTTACAGCCCCATTTACTTTAATGTGCTACCTGAATAACATAATCATAGCTATAACTATAGTATAGGGCCAGAAGGTTCATGCACCTTAGTGGTTTCTTTTACTGCTTAAATGGCTTGTTCATAAATGTATTTTTAATAATAATAGCAAATCTTTTAGTATCTAGATGTCAAACATGGAAAGTCATTCAAATGGATTCCTCTTCCAACTAAATTTCTGAACATATAACTTTAAAATCCAAGTTACACTGCTTTTGTATTTATTGTATACACAAACAAATGGATTATTGCTGTAAATTCACCCCTGTTGACTTCTGTTTGACTGCAGTTATGTAAGCTTCCTAATCTACTCGCTTCTACCTTTACTTTTCAAACAAGATGTGATTTCCATCAAGAATGGTCAACTGAGGATGTATCGCTGAAGAATATTTATATATGCACCCAGGATGAAACGCACTTGTGTACATCATAAGGCATTGTGTATCAGTATCCATTAGTGTCTTCGCTACTCTGGATCTCAGATGCCCCTGAGTTTGAAGGAAAACATGTTTTTTTGTTTTAGGCTGTTTGGTGTAACAGGAAACTGTGCTGCCTGTAGTAAGCTCATCCCTGCCTTTGAAATGGTGATGCGAGCCAAGGACAACGTTTACCACCTGGACTGCTTTGCCTGTCAGCTTTGTAATCAGAGGTAAGCAGGTTTCTTTTTGCTTCGCAAAACTGGAAAACCTCTTTCTTCTGGCTATTGACTTAATAGGTGACAATGACAGGGGCGTACTCTACTTCAGTAGTAATTAATCTCAGTTGTTTTGTTTTGTTCTCTTTTGTTTCATGTTGTGTTGTTTTGTTTTCTGCAAAAATGCAGTCAGCGCCTGAAATAAGCCCTGGAGGTGGACGGTCTTAAGACTAACTTTGAAAGAAACGCATCATGTAACAGCATGTAATTAAACACGGCGCACTTACACTAACTTTGGGGTTTATTGTTTTTTCTTCTTTTTATTGTTCTTCTGACTTTCTAAGAGTTAGTTTAAAATATCTTTACTCTTCTGCATTACTTTTGTGAGCAAGCAAATACACCAGAATTTGTAATGGGCATTTTGTTTCTATCTTATTTATTATATTTATAGCTTCCCTTTGTCTTGATATCATCTCTGGAATTTTAACAATGCCTTACACATACTTTTTCTTTTACAAATACTTTTTAAGTTGTCTCAAATCTCTTTGGGGATGAGACCAGGTATAGCTAATAATTAAGCAATTATTGGCTGGGGATATAGCTCAGTGGCACAGTGCTTGCCTGGTAAGTGCAAGGTCCTGAGTTCGATTCACAGTACCACCAAAAAAAAAGCAATGATCAGTGTTGGAGAGCAACAATGGAATGAATTTTTCCCAGTGAATCTAGCATCCTACCTTGTAGTATGTGCTCTGTCATAAACTGGCTGTGTAACTTCAAGCCATCCACTCTTCCTTTCTTGACATCATTTTTCTTTATTTGTAATGTAAGGGAGCTGAATTAGTCAAGTTCAGAACTTTCAACTCAAAAGAATTATGGCTCTAACCCATTGTTTTCTTATTAAAAGTTATACTTTTATTTCCAGAGAAGTACATACTCTTTTATGTGATTAATACAGAGAATTTTAGGGTATTAAAATATACATAGTTAAAACATAATATTTAAAAAATTAGTATGCTTGATGAATTTAAATAAAAAGAGGAGCTCTGAGGTCATATAGTCACAGTATATAATCAGCAATTATTAGTTATATCAAGTTCACAGTTTGTATGATCTGCCATAGAAGGCCCTGTCCAATGCCAAGTTAGTATGTAGAATAGTATAAAGAAGATCATGATTATAGTAACGGCTACATTTAAATTCCAGCTCTGCTATGCATCAGCTGTGGGACCTTACATATGTTTATTTTTTATTTCCATAAAATAGAAACACTAATACTTGCAAAGTTTGAAAATTAAATAAAATAAATTACATCAAGTAGTAGAAATACAGTAAGCTTTCAAAAGTTACTTCTTTCATGTTTATAATTCATTTTGATTAAATTCTACCACACCAACTTGACTTTTCTAAAAGATAAATATCTCAGTAGTATCTCTTGCTAAATATCAATGATTAGGACATGGCCCAGTACACCCTCTGATGTCACCTTTACCTGGATAATAAGGAATAATCTTAAATAATGATTCTTCCCAGCGAATGTTTGGAATCAGAGTAACTTAATTCGGTCTAAGGTGGCGTTTAGCCAAAAATAAATTGGAAAATGCATGTTATTTCCACTAGGAATATGGATGCACAGATGCAGATATCTACAGACCCATAGAGACACATTAATATACATATGTGCAATGTATCTAGATCCATTTTAAAGGTGTATTAGTATAAATGTTATTAGAAGAACTTTGTTACTTGCTACATTGATTGTTAGCAACCACTAGCAACAGTTATATTTATGCAATAAAAAATTTTCGCTGCTGTTCTACTTATAAAAGCTTACACATTCACAATAGAAAATTTGGAAAATAAAAATAATAAAGAAGAATACTGTCCCACTGGTCACTATTCTAAAACAAAGTATGTTAATATCTCAGTGTATAGGTAACTGTATTTTTTCTATGTATAGAACACAAATTATACACATTATCCACTTTATATTATACCCATGTCTAAGCAGGTTTTTAAAAAAGTAACAAAAAAGAGACAGTATTTGAATATGGAATTTCTCATTTATTTTATATTCCTTTTTACCACCATTTAAAATTCTTTTGAAGTATTTTAAGACATCTTGTGTCCAGTTTTATAACTATAGCATCACATATTATAACACTCTTTGGTCATTTGATGGGTAGGGTATTTCTTCAAAAGTTTTTATATTATCAATATAATATGGCTTCTATAGACAAAACATGCCCATAATTAATTAGACAAAGAGCAAAGGCCTTTGAAGGCTTATGTTACACATTGCTAATATGCTTTTCCCTAAAGTAATGCCAATTTTCTCACACCAAAAACAAGCAAAACCCCTAATGTCTCTCATTTGCTCTAACACTGGAAATTATTATTTTTTAAAAAATTCTTGTCACTTTTTGGGATGAAAGTTGGTACCTCATTATAGTTTTTAATTTATATTTATTTGACTACTAGTGGCCTCTAGTATTTCTTCTTTTTGAGAACTGCCTATTTATGCCCTTTATCCATTTTTTCTAATAGGGAAGGCTTACCTGTTTTATCTATGTTCTACACAGAAAATGAAAACATCATTCAAGTGCTACACTCAGCCTAAATTCTATTATGATGCAAAGTAATTGTAGGTAGTTAATGCTATTTACAAATCATCTATCAATTTTATTTCCCCACTGAAATAAAAAGTTGCATTCACAATTAAGTCTGTCTCCTCAGAACTTAGTCAAGGAAGACAAACACTCCTAAATTTTGACTCTAAAACTGTTCACATTCTTATTGCTGCAAAATACTGTTCTAGTGTCATTATTAAAGTACCTAATATATTTCTGTGTCCGCGTCATTTATTACATGCCGTAATGGACTGCATATCTTTAGTGCTGGTTATGCACAATTAGCACTTAGTTATTGTCTTGTCACTTCAGCCCCTGCAAGACAAACTTCTTTAATGCAAGAAGTCAGCTAATTTTTGTCAAGCAAAGCAGACAAAGTCTGTTACTCTGAATACAGAAAGCTTTTAATACAGGACAGTCTCCTCTCACTCTGTAGTTTGCTTGGGCAGGGTCTGAGCAAAGCCAGATCCCACACAACCCTATGCTTTCTGAGGCAAAATCACAGTCTCAATCACACCCCTTCAAGTAAAGCATGAGGTAAATTGGGCATTGACAGGTATTTTTCCTCAAGCAGATTTTACTGGCATCTGAATTTGGGGGATTATTAACGTTTCTGACTTTACTCAGCATTTTAAGCTGACTTTTAAAATCAAAATATCACAAAAGTCCAAAACCCTTCTGAATGTTTAAAGCAATAATAACCAACTTTCAGAATTTACAGTCCCTTCTGTAGATCTTCGTCTTTTTTTTTTTTTTTTTTTTTGGTTTTTCTCCGGTACCGGGAACCAAACTCACAACCTTCCGCTTGCCAGGCAGGCGCTTTTGCCGCTGAGCTAAATCCCCAGCCCCTGATCTTTGTCTTTTTTTAGAAGCTTATGATGAAGTATGGGAATCTTAGATTAAAAATATTAAGGTTTCTCTATTTCAAAAGAAACCAGAGAAGGATTATATTGAGCCTCTCTTGTGAAAATGTATTGCTCATTCAAAATTAGAAAAGGTCTGTAAAATGGGTTCATTTCCAAAGGCTGAATAATCCTCTCCTCTTTAGAAAATTGAGTCATAATAAAAAATGGTTGTACCATTGAAACAATGGTGGGGGAAGCATGTAATTTGTAGTAAAATCTCCCCAAATACATAGAACTGCATAATGTTTCCGTTTCTTTTATTAAAGGATAAAAGCACTGTGTGAGGCCTTGTGGAAGTTGAGGTAGATAAAATCCAGTTTCTTTCTTTTTAGACTGATCAGAGCTGTAAGAGAAGCAAACACTTGCAGAAGAGAGTATATAGATCTACCCCGAAGGAAGACAATGTTCTCCTTGAGTTTGGGAATGCGTACAAGTGCTGATATGCTAAGTTTCAAGACAGAACTCCGTAGGACTAGGTGGGGCATAGGCCCTGTGTCTGGTGGAAACTGGGAGTGATGTGAGAGCCAGAGAGAAGTGATAGAAGGGTTTTCCAGACACGTGGCACAACACACCCAGGCACATGGGAGAGCGTAAGAGTTGCTCAGGCAACGACAAGCAGCTGAGAATGCTGAGATTAATAGTTTGGAAGGAATGTGGAGGGGCAGCGAGTAGAGCAGTGACTAAGAGGAGAGGAAACTATAAAGGCAAGATGTCACAGAATGAAAGTCAGTATAAACACTAATTTAAATTATGTATCTAAATTATACTAGCTACTTAAAACTGTTGTATTCTGAAATAAAAGTATCAACCAACATTTCTGGATGATGCGTCAACCTTGTAAGTAGGACATTTATGATCGTCCTGCAGGGAGGATCAAGAGAAATACAATTCATTGGAATTTACCTCTGAACTGCTGTCCAGATTGAGAAACTTGTTACACATTCATGAGAAAGTTTGAAATGCCAAAGCAAATGATATACCAACAAATACATCCTTCAGGTCAGGAAATATTAATGGAGGGAATGGAAAGGAAGGAATGTTTATAATTTAAGTAGAGAGAAAAAAGTGAGCAATGTTCCTGTCTAGGGAACAGTGTATATAATCTTTTCTATACATGAAAAGATTATCATTAATAAAAAATAGAAAAGTATAAATCAGGAACTATTCATGGCGTTTGCATAAACTAACTCATTTAACACTCAAAATCACCCATATATAGGTATTGTTAGTAGTCTAATTATAGATAAACAAGCTATCACACAGGAAATTTCGGTAACTTGCCCAAGACCACCCAGTTAGGAGTTGGAAGATTCAAGATTTGAGGCTGCAAAGTAAGCCTTTACTGCACGGACTCAAACCTGTTTCAAAAGAAGTATCTTCTCTTCTGACTAAGAGAATATAAATGGGAAAGATATCACAGAGTTAAAGGAAGGTTGATTTTACATAATTTACAAGTTTAGCAGGATTCAGGGTATGGGTAATGTTTCTTGGTAGAGAATAGATTGTTTGGAAGGAGAAATGGGATGACAACTGGGCTGTCACTGGGGGGAAGACAGTAAATTTGTCCCCAAGTATTATGATTATAGAAAGAATATGTAACCTCTACCCCTTACTGAAAATAGTACAGTGTAGACAGTCTGTCTTTTAATAGCTGTGGATGCTGAATAGAAAATAGAGACATTGGAAATATATCTTAGATTCCCTCTTCTTTTCAAAGTGTTATAGAAATAGAAATTAGTTATAATTGGCTGCCACTAATCTTAAATAAGATGACTAAGTTAACATTTTCATTTTACAGAAGTACGTTCCCAAAAATGTATATTATGACAGGTGGCATTTTAGCATAGTCTTTTGATAACTTGCCCCAAACTACTCTATGCTCTATATATTACAAGATTTATTAATTATGCTTATGTACTATAGTCCTCAAGTTGCTAAGACCATGTGAATTGAGGACAGCTATCATCATCCTGAAATAGCTGTAAATTGGTTGTATTCTTAACTCTAAAACATCAAGATTAAGTGGTTCAATAATCTAATTAGATATCTTTTTATTCCTTAATATTTTTAAAAATGAGGGCAAAGCTAATCAATATGACCACATCACAAACAATTAGGGCTGGATTACAAGGAAAATTTTTCACTTTATTTTCAAGAGCTTTAGTCTGACCTGTTAATATACTTAGAACATCCTCTGGCCATTTCCACTTTACTACATATAAATATAATAAAATAACATGTGTTTTATAATATATATTAATATTCATTATGTAAAACTGGAAATTAGCCTTTCTTATGAAATCACTGTTCTCCATTACTCAGTTAAGCACATAATAACTACATTGCTATTTCTCTAATTTCCTTGTGTTTACATATGGAGTATTTTTAAGAGGTATACCAATCCTAACTGCATACCAGTCATAATCTGTTCTTAGCCACAGCTGTCAGGGCTGTTTCTATTGTCTAGTTATATGTGTGTGACATTCTTACTCGTGTTCTATTTCACCTTGACCTTTAAGTTTAAACTGAAAAGCACATAAAATGTGCTTTATAGCTGACACCATATTAGCAAAATATTTTAGATAAATATAGTCCCTTTTCTCTCAATAGAGAAATTTGTCTGAAAACCATTTCTTGAGATCTCTCTCATCTCATGGAATTGTTGGCAGACTTGCTAAAAGTTATGCAAAGAAATAATAACAATAATACAGAAGCTTGAATAACTGTTCAACTTTCACCTTATACTTGTAGTCTCCATAGCCCATTCATAAAAGCATGGGTCTTGAATCCCATGAAAAATATACAAGAGGATGGTTTCTTCCCCTTCTACAAATAATCAAGGTATAGAATCTTGGACACATTTTTTTTTAAACCTCTGAGAGAGTCTCACATTTTTCTTCTGCAAAAGGCAATGATAATACTTTCTAGTTTGCATTATATATAACAAACATGGGATGAATGTTTAACTTTTTAAAAAACATACTACAGTACGACACACGCTGCCATTAACCCCCTCTCACTTGGAACACACTAGTCCCTCTGTGCTTGCCACGTTCAGAGGCAGTTTTGGAAGTCCTCTTAGCTGCACTGTCACGAATGCCTCAATGTCCTGTACTGACTCAAAATGTTTACCTTTCGAAGTCACTTTGACTTTGAGGAAGAGCCAGAAGTCACACAGTGCTAGAACTGGTGAATGAGGCGGATGAAGACATTCCATAATGTTTTTATTTGACAGAAATCACCATAAATGCTTTTAATCAATTCAAGGCAGCAAGATAGCCACAAAAAGATGCTCACAGCGGAGAACCCCCAGAGCTGCTTTAGAAAGTGAGGAAAGTGATAGGATCAGTGTGTTTGAAGTGAGGGGAAGTACTTTGAAGGGGATTAATGACAGTGTGTCTTACAGAATATTTTTTAAAATTTTTATTTAAGGTTTCACACCTCGTACATATTTAGAGTTAGCATATGGTAAGCAATTTATAAAAGGTTCCTACTTTACCTATATTCCAAGCATTGTGGTAGGATTTTTACAGACTTCATTTCCATTGTTTGCTATAAATTTACAAAAAGACTGATACTACCGATAAGAAAAACCAAAGTTTCATCTTCAGTTATCACAGTGGAGGGCTAGGATTTGAACCATATTCTTTGCAATGTTACCTCTCTGCCTTTCACATATTTTTGTTTGAACCTCTCTGTAGTCTGGTGCTGTATCTAGGTTTCTCTCACAGGGAAAGTATGAAATATCCCCGTGCCTTGCTTAGGGTAGGAGATAGTCACAGGACTTGAAGCCAGATCCCCCAGATCTTGGTTCTATATTTTTCTTACTATAATTACTGTGAACCTACTCATGTACAAATAGAAATGTTCTAACTTCAAAGGCATCTAAGAGTAAGAAAAAAATGGCATGACATAACATGTTGACACGATAGAAAACCATGTTTTTATTTGATGACTGATGGAATTCAAGGGCTTGATAACAATTAAAGCAAAATGTAAGACAATATAAAGTTTAAAGAGTACTTCCAGATAGTTGTTTGTTAGGGAAAATGATTCAGTGACATCACCTGGAAAACACAAGTATTTCATTAAATCTATTTTTGATGTTATTTTTTAATTTCCTGTTAGTTGAAATTTTCAATAGTAATATAAATTGATGATTTTTGAACAATACACTATATGCTGTCTAATATAATTCCACATAAAAAAGAAATATATAATTTGGCTACTGTAGGCAGTCCAACATTACAAATATTTTCATTTACTCAATGCATTTTAGTGATCAGGATTACAAATGGTGGTTTATCCAATCACAGCTGTTTAAATGCAACATTGAAAGCGCATAGTTTGCAAGTAACACAAAGAACACACGTAAAGCTCAAAACTTAAATATTTATTGTGTCCAGTAGCCTGGGCCAGAAGCAACTCCAGGATTTTGAGATCAGTGCATACTCCGTACTTTCAATCAACATCATCAGCAGGCAGTAATCCAGGGGAAAAAAGTAAATTCCACAAATAAACAGACCAATTTTCCTTTAAGAGGAAAGCTAATTCTTTTCAATCTACTTTTTTTATTACACTATTTTCCCCTCTATCTACTTAGCTAGTATGAGGATAAATTTCCAAAGCTACCCAGTTGGAAAATAAATAGGTTCACTGTTTGTCTAGCATTCCAATCTTTGCAAATGTAAATCAGTCCAACTGCTTCTCCTTTAAACCTTCAACTTCACAAAACATTAAAGGGTGGCTTTCATTGCACAATTTAATCTATCCACTAAGATTTCTGCCTGAACATCATTCGAAATTGACTATCTGATAAAGAGAGACCACTATCAAAGATCAGGGAGGTCAACTTGTATAATTACAAGGAGTTTTACTGGGTCAACTCTACCAAACACCACTGTTTGAAGGTTAAATTGTGACAATTAAATATATATACAGATCTTCCCAGAGTTACTTTATTGTTAAATGTACTGGAAACCGCACAAACATTTATTTCTGACCTTGTGTCCAAAGTGTCACCCACTAAGAAATTATACAAAGAGACCATTTATTAAAAACATTACAATCTTGCAATTAAACCATGCTTTATAAAATAAAATGCATAATTAACCACTGGTAACTATTTTTATTTATCACATCCATATTAAAAAGTTCACTTAGGTTAGTTACTTCCTTTGGTTCACTTGGAAAGGATCCAAGAAATGTCATCTACTATTTCATAGTTGGTGAATTTGTCCCAAACAAAGGAATTGAGCTCGGCATCAGAGTCTGATACTAAAGCAGGTTTCCTTTCAGAGTGAGTGCTTCCAAATTACTAGAACTCAGTCTTATTTTAACAACAGAGAAAAAAGAATATTTAAGTGGGAAATTTTAGAATCGGCTGTTTTCTAATCATTTGCTTCATTTGAATGTCTTTTAGATTTTTGTTAAATAGATAAATGGCCAGTGATGTAAGCTTCCATAATCACAGCAGAGAAATATAATTGTCATTTTTCGTTTTATTTTACTGCATGTAAACAAAGGTCTGTTACTTTATCTTTTTCTTTCCAATGTATTGAAATAAAGAAAGATAAGGAAAAAGGAAAGAAATAAAGAAAGCATATCACCCTTGGTGCCCCCAAAGTGTTTACCTTGATATTTCTACAGTTTTTATATAGAATGATAGAATTTCAAATATTATATGCCATGTCCCATAAATGAACTAAATGGTTTTAATTTTGATAAAGGCTACTTCCTAAGTCAGTGTTTCAAATTGAAAAACTTACCATGGGAAACTCTTATTAGGAAAATAAGTCTTCAGATCTATAGGTCTGAGTGAAATAGTCTTAACACTTTGTTTTCTGATATTTTCAGATTTTGTGTTGGAGACAAATTTTTCCTAAAGAATAACATGATCCTTTGCCAGACAGACTACGAGGAAGGCTTAATGAAAGAAGGTTACGCACCCCAGGTTCGCTGATCTATCAACATCACCCCGTTAAGAATACAAAGCACTACATTCTTTTATCTTTTTTGCTCCACATGTATATAAGAATTGACACCGGAACCTACTGAATAGCGTAGATATAGGGAAACAGGATGGTTATATGGCATAAGAGGCGGACTGCATCTGTATGTAGTGAAATTGCCCCCAGTTCAGAGTTGAATGTTTATTATTAAAGAAAAAAATGTAATGTACATATTGCTGGATTTTTTTGCTTGCTATTCGTTTTTGTGTCACTTGGCATGAGATGTTTATTTTGGACTATTGTATATAATGTATTGTACTATTTGAAGCACAAATGTAATACAGTTTTATTGTGTTACCATTTGTGTTCTGTTTGCTTCTTTGTATTGTTGCATTTAGTACAATCAGTGTTTAAACTTACTATATATTTATGCTTTCTGTATCTACCAGCTATTTTAAATGAGCTGTAACTTTCTAGTAAAGAATTGAAGAGCAAATTTCACTAATGATACACAGATAGATAAAGCAAGTCTATCAACATTTAAAAAGTACTAAAAAATAAAGAAACACAAAGCATTTTAGTGACATCTACTACTTATTGCCACTATGATTTAGAGTCTATCAGTGTTCTCATTATAACCCCCTATTTTCAGGGGGTTCAAAATCAGCTTTAAAAATGCATAAAAATTTCATCTTAAAGCACTTTCGTTTTATACCAACGTGAAAAGTGCCATTTTTAGAATATCTTTAAAGCTTAACAGTTATCCTTCTAATATCATTTGTGTGCTATTTGCCTATACAATAGCTTTAGTTTGTTTTATCAGCAACACCACCTATGTGAACTAGTGCCTTTGGGTATCATGTAAAAATTTTTCCAAAGGGTTACTTTAAAAAATATTACCACAATTAAGAGATAATTTTAAAATGACAAATTAAATTTCTTGTATAAACATTGCCTGGATCTTTCCCCAGGAGCTAAGGTTTTAATAACTTTATTGCTTAATGAATTCATGGCACTGAAAAGATCTGAGTGTGAATCTACTGAAATTATGATAACACGCACGGAAGCTTTGGTGGTATTTGAGTAGCGAGGTTACAGCAACACGATGCTTGTAGAATCTTCTAGAGGAAGAGAAACAAAGGGACAGATTAAAAGCTGAGAACTGATGATTATCTATTTTTCTGTATTTATTTGCCATTTATTTTAATGTTCAAAAAGTGAACATTTGGAGTTTGATATGTTGTTCTTTCTCATTGCTTTAAGTAATTATCAATTCAGAATATATCACACTCTGGCTACAATTCTGTCATTCTAGTTTTGAAAGGTGAAATATTATCCCCTTACTTAAGTGGTAGCTGATAAAGGAGAAAGAGCTAGAAACAGAAATTATATAAAGTGATTATTTAAGTAACAGGAAATAAAAACAGGAATATGATCACCTCTTCGGGTGGGTGGTTCATACTTAGCAACTGCTACTTATGGTGGAAATACTTCTCGGCAAACCTAGTCTTAAACCTAGTTCTAAAAATACCGTGAGTTGTATTTTTCTACAGCAAACAGTGCTGTAGAAAAATACAACTACAGAAAGAATTTTAAAGCTAGCCATTTGAGCCCACAAAATTTTTCTACAGAAACAGTGCTGTGACTTTTGCTTTTTTTAATTCTTTTTTTTGGGGGGGTCATTTAGGAAACAATATTTTTCACTGTTATTTGTATACTTCTATTTCCTGCCAATGTACCCATTACACATGAAAATTAAATGTTATTCCTGAATTCTTGGTTTGGGGCCAAAATATAAAGCTGAAAATAGTGCTGGTATAAATTTGAGCTGTTTTAAAACAAAGCTTTATGAGGAACCTGCATGTGAATCTGAATATTGCCTCTTATTTTTAAGAAAATGGTTCTGTGAGATATGTGGGAATGATATGTATTTTTACAAATGCTTCATGGTGAAGAGTATTGAAGTCACATGTCTCCAAAATTTGAGATCTACTGAAGAAAGAATTTTAAAGCTAGCCATTTGAGCCCACAAAGTAATTATTATTCCCCCCTTAAAGCCTTACACTAACTTACAGACAAAAGTCAAAGGCGGACAAAAAAACGAAGAAGTGATTTCTTTAATGTAGCCCTGCTAGTCCATATTAACAGTTCTGGGAAATTCATGGGAATGTAAACTTTGTCAGTATCTTTTTCAAATGACCTTTTTAAAATTTAAATCATTTTGCATTTATGTAAAAAGAAAAGAAATTGTAAATTAGGAACAAAATTCTCTGGGCTTCTTGAAGCTGTTCAACTATCCTTGCTTCCCCAAAACCAAACAAGAGTTTCACAAACTCTTTTTCCGTTTAATCCTTCACAGATTAATATGAATACTTTTTACTCCCAGCAAATTTACATACCTGGATTAAAGATTAAGCCTTAATCTGTTTAGATTACCTTTAATCTCCATGACATTGTGAAACAGGACAGGAGTAGTTTTTCCACTGGAGGCTATTTTACAGCTAATTGCCCATAAATAGTGGCATTTTGACCTGAAGTACTAAGCAAATTTTCTTGACTACTCAAAGCCCCTCAAATGTTGTCAATTTTCCCCTTTGTGTTGTGTAGCCCTGACATCACCGAGCTGGTTATCCTGTGCTCCAGAAGGAGTCCTTCTCCGATGGAGCTCGGATTTCTCAAGCCGCAAGAGGCCCTCCTTACCTTGCTTTTCCTACAGGCTGCTTGTGAGGAAGGACCGGCGATCACCAGTCTGCCATAGTGCTGAGTTTCAAAGCTGACCTGTGTTTGTAATTTCACTTTCATCTTGCTTAATAAATATCTGCTGGCTTCTTTCATTCACTTTTTAATATTTGGATTTATGGTTTTCATAAAAGGGGTATTCTGCTACTTGACTGCACTTAACTGGCAAAATTAAAAATCGTGTCTAGAACGTCCACAAGGAATCCATGAGAATGGGAAAAAGAGTGTACCAGAACATTGGCCTTCTACAGATGAATCCTAACAAAGCACATAGAAAAGGTATCTCACACACTGCCTCCAAATACTGTAGTATATTTTGGATGTCTGAGAGAGGTGGTGCACTTACTTCTGTGGGGAAGATAAAACTGTCAAAAAGGATTGTAGTGCTTGCTGGGTATCATTTTTGCACATTTATACAAATTTTCAGTGATCCTTCTGAAAGCGACTGAATTGTTGTCATCACATTAAATTTAAAATCACTTATTTCCCGTAAGAAGAATTAAAACAAAAAACTTAATCCCACATTTTCAAAAGAGAGATGTGTGCCTTAATTGAAACAGGGTGGTGAAAATTATATCTGTAGCAAAACGAACCACGCACAAGTGATTTCATTTTAACTATCACTTTAGGCAAATCACTCTTGGAATAATCACTTAAACAATTTCATAGAAATGATAGAGGCCAACTATGTTCAGTGTTCACTTCAGTAAGTTGCAAAAACAGTCTACATGTTATTGCAATAGGCCATTAGCACTGAATACAATTTTAGCAAAAGCCTTTCATTCATTACATTTCCTTTAAAACACCATTACAGATGTTTTTTTAAAAATGTGATTTTAATGCAAGTTAGCATAATAGAAGGCAAAGCATTGATAGAGCCATTATTTCAATGGACATTTCTTGAACTCCTACTATGTGATAGGAGTTGCCCTGCGCACTCACACACCTACAGACAGAAGTGGGGTGTTTCACACATCCATCGACGTTATTGTGTCTTTGCATCCCTTTTGAGCTCACTACAAACCTGCTAATAATGAGCACACAAATATGAACACTATCTTCTACCTATTCAGCATGTCATTGATATGGAAGCCCCAGAAAATATCTCAAATTACCAATGTGTTCAGAGAATTATCTCACACAAATTACTCATTAACTCAATAGCACATAATAAAAAAGAACATCAATTAATTAATGAGTCACCCTCAGATCGCTATGATTACAATAGAGCTCTGTTGAAACATGGGTTATAAATGGAGCTGCCTCTCTTTATTCATTGTTTGCAATTGGCCCATTATTTGCCTGCAACCAATGTCATATTTAACACATGCCTGTAGGTAATTGTGTGATTAGTATCATAAATAACGAATTTTGAAAGTCTACTGCTTATAAGACCATAGGAAAAAAAAAGACTCATTTTTACCATAGCTTCCTTTGAAGCTAGACTATGAGAAGGGTGTTTTCTAGAAGGTATAGTTTTACATTTATACTAAAAATGTAAGACTGTTGTATTGAACACGAAGAATTAGCTGCTGAAATGCCTACAGGTAAATTTTACAATGCTTTTGTATACACATGATTTAATTTCAGTAACCTTGTGAAGACTAAAATATGTACAATCAATGCCAATTTTGCTAATGTTTTGTTACTCTCAAAAGAACGCTTTGGGTGAGCTGGGTTAGGGCTGCTTTGTGGGGACAGACAGCAATAGGGGAAGGGATTTGAAGAAATACCAAATGTTACACACAAAGTCACCAACTAAACTTTTCCAACTATCTGGTAAATGCCATTCCAGTAAGCGTATAGAATAATTAAACAGTTCCCTTAGGTAAGTAAGAAACATCTGTTGGTAACACATAGCAGGTGTTAACAATTACACATACTGAACTTTTAAAAAATGTTTTTAATTAAAAGAATTCTGTTTTATGAGAAGAAAACTGTTACATTCAAAGATATTTCTGTTTTATGTGTCCAGATCACGTAATGCACAAAACTGGAAAGCCCAAATCATCTTGGATCATCTATGTTTTGTGTTTTGTTCAGATCATTGCAATCAGAAGTGAATTATAATTCATTACACTTTTTACACAGTTGGTATTCTGGGCTGAGAAGCTGAATACTCATGAAGTTGGACTAGCAGAGCTGATAATGGAATATTTTGGTTTTATGGGCAAGGTGGTTGCCATTAACTCTACCAAATTGAGCAGACACAGTACAAAGTAAAATGAGAGGGACAGACTTGCAGATAATAGATCTACCACTTTTTCTTTTAACATTGCCCCTGGAGGGATTTTACATCACCTACAGCAAATAATACTTTTATAATATGAAACATCATATGACCCACCCTGGGTAGCTTTTCATAATGATAACTCCCATTTACTGAACACTCGCTGTCTGTCAGACAACTTCCCACACCCTTCGTATTTGCATAACAGCCCTGTGACATAGGTATTATCACGTCTATTTCGATTGACTTTTAATTTTTAAGCTTTGTTTTTGAAATAGGGATGTGGTCACACCACGTTGGCAAGGCTGATTTTGAATTTGTGTCTTCAAGTGATCTTTTCACCTCAGCTGGCACTAAAAGCGTGTGTCTTCCTGATTTTCAATAAGAACCTTGCTAGGTTACTTAACTTGCCTGAGGTCAAATGGGGAGGGGGACCTGAGATAGTAGGTAGTGAACCTGAGATTCAAACACAGGTTTACTGGGTCTTCACTAATCTACTAATATTATGTCTTGTAAGGTTGTCTATTTATTTGGTAGCTTCTGGGAATAGTCAAGGGCTAGGAGTCATCTATGCTTGACAAAAATCACAAACATTTCAGAGTTAGAGCCATCATTTAAGAAAAGGGAATATGATCTATCATCTTTTCCAAGATACGATCTGTTTGAGAGTTCTCCTTTTCAACCACACCATAAAGGCATTTTCTGCACCTGTAAATTCAGGGAACCAGGAATAGAGGACCCTTTAGTACAGCAGTACTGAGAACATGAGCAAGTGGGAATAGGATGCTGTCATCTTCCACATCAGGCCCTACATGCTGTAGGGAGGTGAGGCTAGATGAGTCTCTGAAATCAAGATAAATAAACGAACACATTAACTATCTTTTATGTTGACTTACTTTCATAAAATGAGATAGGGCTAGGGTTGAAGTACCTAGATTATCAATCTATTTCAAGCTTTGTTTTTACCGGTCTAAATTACACAAGTTATAAAGGATTCTAAGTCCAAGTCAGTGCCAAACAGTTATGAAATTTTTGTCTCAAATTTATAATGATGAGCCAGACCAAAGCAAAACCAGGCAGAACTTTTAGCCTTGACATAGACTGGAGCAAAATGCAATTATTCACATCCTCACATTACCACACAGAAAAGACCCAAAACTCTTCCCTCTGACCTAGTTTCTGTGGCTCTTCCTCGCC